AAGAAAAAAAAAAAAAAAAAAAAAAAAGGGGGGGGGGGGGGGGGGAGAGAGAACAAGGCAGCACGTATTAAAATGAAGCTACTTAGAGACAGATGCTTGAACGACTTGAAAATCTAGGGAGAACAAAGGACATTAGATTCATTCAAACTCCGGCAGAACCTCGTTGCGTTTACGATCGTGTGATAAAACCGATGCCATCTTTGTTGAGAAACGTTCCTCCCTGGGAACTGCACTAATCAACTGCCCCAGCATGTGTACAGGCACCCGCAGTGCCGTGCCCCTGTCTCGGGAGGATGGACCAGAGGCATCTCTGCTCTGGCCCCGGCACGCGCAGCACATCGGGAGACACGCTCACACTTCGGACGGCACCTCGGCAGGTTGCTTCCTACGCACCAGCCGGGAGGACACGTGGTGTTCAGGAGGAACTGGCTCCCTAACATGCAATGAAACATCCACAAAACTTTGGGGTATCCAAAAGAAAACAACACTAATTAAAAACCGCCTGGGCAAGGCTGGCATCCAGGGTGGATCGTGAGCAGTAAATGAAGCAGGCATTTACTTTATTAACAGTAACAATAATAATTGGTGTAGCTCAGCTGCTTCATTCAACGCGTAGCATCTGATCCGTGCACTGAATGAACGAGGAAGGGGAAGCCTGCATGGAGCCATGTAATTAAAGAGGATCGCGATGCCGACGTACAAGCAGCAGAGTTGTGCAGCTACTTCCCGACCTCCGACCATGTTCACGCTGCTGCAGTGACATTTATTAGCACAGGTGCAGTGGTCAGGAATACAACACGAAGGGGGAGTTTAGCAGCATGGACAGGTAGGATGAAAGTGAGACTCAGTCTCTCGGCCTTGCAAGCTAGAGGGAAAACCTGAATGAGGTATCCAATTATAGATATACTGGGGAGGCAGCGATACTGAGAGATTTAGGGTGAAGCTGGATACGAAGGCAGTGGCCAATGCCAATGTGCTGCATATGCAAAGTTATCACCTCACGGACCAAGGTGAGACCTTGTCTGGGACATCCATCCTGAGACCTCGAACACAAAGAGTCAATCTGGAGGGAACTGGACACGATGACCGAGAGGCTGGAGGGATGGACACAAACCGAAGAGCATCAGACAAATGGCCCAAATAACCCCTGGAGCGAAGGGGCACTGAAGCCATCTGTAAGCAGAAGAAAAGCACACGCAGCAAGAATGGGGAACGTGGCCTGTAATGAGCCGCAGACATGCGACCGTGTGTAATGAAATGAGACCAGGCGAAGGAAGAGTTTCCCACAGAAAGTCGTCCCATCGCTTGAGTCAGCTGAAATCAGATGGGGGGGAAGAACATGCATTTTACAGGGCAGCCATGATCAGACAAGAAAACCACACCGACACCTAGGAGACGGGTCCCCCAGAAACACCCGAGCACGCAATTCTTCCAGACGGGGTTAGAAACAGGGCTGTTGCTGCAGGAACCTAATTGCAGGCACTCGTGCTCCTGCACAAAAAGCAGCCAGTCCACAGGGAGGAGCAGAGGTGAAGAGAGGAACTATTTAAGCAGGCAGCAAGAACAGCTTGAATGCCGAGGTCCTCCTCAAAGACCACATTTATCCCTGCAGAGACAAACTTCTTTCTATAGGCGTTACTGCAGTGCAGCAAAGAGTCTGTCCTAGATAAAGGGAAGGATTTGTCACTGGAGCAAGAATTACGGAGGGTCCTGCTAAGCGACGGGAGTGATAAGTTACACAATTTAGCAAAATATTGATCAGCTGGGCTACAGCCTGCCAGCCATCAATTGGCACTGCGCACTGCCTGCTGACCGTCAGAGGGCATCTTTACTAGGGCTGTGCAAAGCTTGTCCCTGGTTTGAGTCAGTGGAGATTCGGCCCGATTCGGTGCCTGAATCTCTGAATCCGAATCAAATCAGAGGACCCTTTAACCTCTCCAAATCGAATCGGAAAGATTCAGTGATTCGGTCATAGACACAGCTTTAAATGTTTTTTCTACATACCTCTGGG